GCCTCCGTGGCAGGCTCTGGGCATTCTGGGGCCTCTGTGGCAGGCTCAGAATGTTCTGGGGCCCCTGTGGCAGGTTCTGGGCATTCTGGGGCCTCCGTTGCAGGTTCTGGGTGTTCTGGGGCCCCCATGGCAGGCTCTGGGCGTTCTGGGGCCTCTGTGGCAGGTTCTGGGCATTCTGGGGCCTCCGTGGCAGGCTTGGGGCATTTCGGGGCCTCTGTGGCAGGCTCTGGGCATTCTGGGGCCTCTGTGGCAGGTTCTGGGCATTCTGGGGCCTCCGTGGCAGGCTCTGGGTGTTCTGGGGCCTCCGTGGCAGGCTCTGGGCATTCCGGGGCTTCTGTGGCAGGCTCAGAATATTCTGGGGCCTCCGTGGCAGGTTCTGGGCATTCTGGGGCCTCTGTGACAGGCTCAGAATATTCTGAGGCTTCTGTTGCAGGCTCTGGGTATTCTGGGGCCTCCGTGGCAGGCTCTGGGCATTCCGGAGCTTCCGTGGCAGGCTCAGAATACTCCGGGACCCCTGTGGCAGGCTCTGGGCATTCCAGGGCCTTTGTGAGAGGCTCTGGGCATTCTGGGACCCACATGGCAGGCTCTGGGCATTCCAGGGCCTTTGTGGCAGGCTCTGGGCATTCCGGGGCCCCCGTGGCAGGCTCTGGGTGTTCAGAGGCCTCCGTGACAGGCTCTGGGCATTCCGGGGCTTCCGTGGCAGGCTCTGGGCATTCCGGGGCCTCTGTGGCAGGTTCAGAATGTTCCGGGGCCTCCATGGTAGGCTCTGGGCATTCCGGAGCCTCCCTGGCAGGCTCACAATGTTCCGGGGCCTCCGTGGCAGGTTCACAATATTCCGGGGCCTCTGTGGCAAGTTCTGGGTGTTCTGGGGCCTCTGTGGCAGGCTCTGGGCATTCCGGGGCCTCTGTGGCAGGCTCAGAATGTTCTGGGCCCTCCGTGGCAGGCTCTGGGCATTCCGGGGCCTCCGTGGCAGCCTCACAATGTTCTGGGGCCTCTGTGGCAGGTTCTGGGCGTTCTGGGGCCTCTGTGGCAGGCTCTGGGCATTCCGGGGCTTCTGTGGCAGGCTCTGGGCATTCCGGGGCCTCTGTG